ATTTTCAAATTGATGGTTTTTAGGATTATTGCTTAATTGAAGCAACCTGTCGAACTTTCTGATTTGTCTTCTTTTGAAGATTGAAGATAAAATTCTTCTTTAAATTTAAAAATGTTATCAATGAGAGACTTCAAATCTGATGTGACCAAGACAGATAAGATTTCATCTAAATTGGACATTCGAATACGAAATAATTCCATATTTTTGGTTGCTCTGTGGACGCGTTCTCGTACAAACGTTCTAGTTGCGGAAAGAGCTGCTTTAATTGATCTGCTAGAGTTATCAGGTGATTTGACAGTTATGGATTTAGGATAGATATTCTGTTGCAGACAACGGAGATTGAAAATACGATGATTGTACCAGTTACACATTTTCTTTGTTAGTTTAATACGATTGCAAAATAATTCATACGAACTGTGATCAAGATTTGATCGGATAGTTGCAAAATAATTGAGCGCTGAGTGAGAAGTAGACATATATATTTTAACAAAAGTAGACAAATTTTGAAAGTCTGAGGTCAAAAATATTTTTGATCATAGTTCATACAATCTTTGTTTTGTTTTGTTTAGTATACCTATTGATTCATATTTTTTATAAACATACAATTCTATTTATTTATTTATTATGCATATTGATACCTGTTGCATGACTCATGATTGGACAAAATTAAAAAAAAGAAGGTGTCCCTTTATATATAAACTTTGTTATGTTAATTTCGATTAATTTCCCTGAAGAAGTTCGGACCAGATTGCCGAACGAAACGTTGGAATTAATCATTTCAATTTCGCTGAGATTTTACAACTTTATAAATGTCTACTTCTCACTCAGCGCTCAATTATTTCGCGACTATCCAGTCAAATCTTGATCACAGGTCGTATGAATGTTAACAGTTTTGTTGAGTCACCCTTGTTACATGTATCCGCTGTGACCTTAATGAATATAGATTCTGTTATAATCTCTCCATTTGTTCATATTAGACTTCAGAATACAAACATTGTCCCTATCAATAGTGTGATTTTTGTTCCGTGCATGTGCAGCAATAGACGAATTTTTTCTTCTAAATTGTTGTAAACTTATGTTCCTATTGGTTGACCTTTAGTTAGGCGTTTATGGTCATTCACTCTTATTTTGAGTGATCTGGACTTTCGCCCTACATATTTAGTCGGACACAAAATATTTTGTAAATCAAATTGTTTTTATTGAATTGAATTTTTGATTTTCCCGTCGAATGATTGGACCGAAGTGCTTGGTCTCAGGTTGACATGTCGGCTTCTTGTGCAGATGCTTCGACGATGTTGCACAAGAGGTGGCTCTCGTGGCCCAAGTCGTGTAGTGGATAACGCATTGGCGTCTGAAACTATGGGCACTGGGTTCGAGCCTCAGTGAGAACATCATGATCACCCAGGTACATCCAGCTAACGAGTCCCAAATAGGATGGAATGCGCATCCTGGATTCCACTGCTAGCCACCATCTACCAATCAGATTGTTTTTATCCATCATTTTTATGGGGTCTTTCAGTTGATTTATTTTACTTTTAATTAAATACGTCGGTTTAAACGTGTTACGAATCCCAATATTTCTGAGGTTTCTTCGAATTACCTATGATGTACATTTTTATATGGTATTTTGACTGTCTTTTTTGCATTCTTCCGTCTTGTAATCCTGTTACTAACCTCTTTTTTCTTCTTTATATTATCTCTGATAAATTCTTTTGGGTAGTTGTTGTCGAGTAACATTTTGCATAGGACGTTTATTTTTTTTTCGCTGGTCCTCTGGTGTTGTTGTAAGTCTACGTATACTATCTGCAATACCTTGTATTAATCCTCGTTTTGCCGTGAGTGGATGAGCGAAGTGATAATCAATGAATCTCCCAGAGTGCGTATTTTTCCAAAATAGCATCGTTTTTATGATACCATCTGTTACTCTTTGTATTTTGCAGTTCCCCAATTTCATTCTCTAATTCCATAGTGAATTTTATTGAGACGACGTGAATGTTTTAGTATGAGAAGAATTTCTGCACATCGTTTTTCTTCATTATTATTAATGTGTCGTCTGGATATCTCCACCAACATTTTATTGGTGACCTGAATGGTTTACGTGAATTTTCTTTCCGAAAATCCATGAATCTGTCAGCTATTGTTGGTGAAATGGGCGATCTAATGGCTACTGCTTCATTTTGTTGGTATATTTTTCCTTCACATGTAAAGTATGTTGTTGTCAGACAGAATTCAACCCGTTTTATTATCTCTTCTACGGATAACTATGTCCTCTCTTTTAGGCCATCATCTTTTTTTAGTCCCGTTTTCAGTGTATTCTTGGCTATTTGAATGGGTATTTCAGTATACAGACTGTTTGTATCAAAGCTGACTAGTATTTCCTCTTCCTCAATTTTAGTGGTTTTTAGTCGTCTCACTAATTGAAATGAATCTACTATTCTAGCTTTTGAGTTGTCTCTTGTTGGTCTTAGTATTGTTGAGAGAAATGTTGACAGCATATACGTTCGTGTGTTTCTAAAATCTACAGTCAGTTTTATCGGATATCCTTCTTTGTACACTTTTATCTTGCCACATATGCTATGTATATTACATGATTTTAGCATAATTTCAAGCAATTAGGACTTACCAATTACGTCTTTCATCTGTCTAACCGCCTTTGATGTTTGTCCTATTGTTTTGTTTGTTATTGTTTTTGATGATTCGGTCATTAGCATTTAGGGTCCAGATTGTATCGTGTGAAGAGGAGTTGAAAGAGTATGGACTAACATGAATGCAGGCGAAAAGTACAGCTGAAGACAGAAGCTAGTGGAGACGTGCAGTTGAAGCCCTATTTTCCACTAGGAACCCAAGGGAGCAATAATAATAATAATCCAGATTGTAAGTGTTTTTTATTTATTTATTTTGATTACATCTTGGTGCCACACCGTGTTTTTGATACAAGTATGGAATTTTCAGCATGTGATATCGGTAGCCCAAATTTTGCAGATATCGGGTGTGCGTCGGCAGGGGATCGAATCCCGGACCATGTGCATGGTTGGGAGAGTTTTAGCCACTGTGCCACTGACCCACATTCATTCATCTTTTCCGTATATGTTGCTTTGTCAAGTATTACTGATGTGTTTCCTTTGTATGCTTTTATGTCTTGAAGTACTTTTAGTTTCTCCTCCGTTTTATTTAGTTTTCTGATTTTGTTATTTAAGGTCAGTACACATTGTGCCTGTACCAATTCTGCTTTTTGCTTGTCATTTCCTTCTAGTGCTGCTTCAATCACAGGTATAATATCTTTAGGTTTTAATCTTTTGTTACTTATGCTGAAGTTCATCCCTTTCATCAGTACACTTTCCTACGCTTCTGTTTGCTTTCTGTCTGACATGTTTACAATCCACTTGGTTTTAGTTACTTGTATATCACTCGTGGTTCTTGAGATCGTGAGTTTATTAACTGTTTTTATTTGTTTCTTCTTTGTTTCTTCGTAGGTAGTTTCTTTTCGTTTTCTTGTTTATTTTCTCATAAGTGTAAGCATTATTTAAGGTCTGTAATGAACGTTATTTCTTGTCTTTCCCCTCACTATGCCATATCAACAGTACATCAGATTAAATAATCCATAACATGCTAAAATTACCAAACTGAATTGACAATACTGTTTGAAACATACCCACTGTTATTATTATATTTATTATTCTCATTTTGTATCTCTTTTTTTGACTTACAGCTTGATTCCACACTCTATATCTGGTACATGTATGGAATTTTCAGCATGGATATCGGTAACCCAAATTTCGCTGGCCGACCATAGATATCATGTGTGCGTCGGCGCGGGCTCGAACCCCGGACCATGTGCATGGTTGGCGAGAGTCCTAACCACTGTGCCACCGACGCACATATTTTTGACTTTATACCATAAATATGGATAAATTCCTCTGGTTAATTTAATTGAATTTATATTTTTAGTGAATCAGATGCAATATTGTAACAAATGCTGAGAATTTCATTTTTTATTATAAGTAACCTTTTTGGAATAAAGTTGATTATTACTATTATTATTAATATTGTTTTATTGTAAAAGTGACCCAACTTCTAAGTGTGTTTTAGGTAAACCGAATAGAGCAGGTAAGATTTCAGAAAGATTTAATTTTCTTGCCTAGTTATTCAAGTGCAAAATAGGGCTACACACGTCACACTCAAGCTTCATTATTTCTAAGATCACCACAGGAAAGCAAATTAGGGAAGAGTCAGGAGTATGTCAATAAGAAATCGACCCAGCGATATGCATATGACTGGCGAGAATTCTATCATTTGAACCCTGACTCTAGAAATGATAACTGAGACTAGTTACAGTTATAAAACTAATAAACTATTTAATATTGTTTATTGAATTGAATTTTTGATTTTCCCGTCGATTGATTGGACCGAAGTGTTCGGTCTCAGGTGGACATGTCGGCTTCTTGTGCAGATGCTTCGACGATGTCTGGGCATTTGATTAGTATACAATTGGTAGATGGTGGCTAGCAGTGGAATCCAGGATGCGCATTTCGTCCTATTTGGGACTCGTCAGGTGGATGTACCTGCATTTCTCAGTGAGTGATGATGTTCCCGCTGAGCCTCGGTGAGAACATCATCACTCACTGAGAAATATTGAATATTGTATTCAATAGCTTGCTGAAGATTCCCGAACTAGGACGAAACAGCTACCCAGTACTCCCAGGTTTTCGAATTGTTCTGTGTCTGATGTCAGCTCATGATGAAATCCTATAACCAGTCAACCAAATCCCTACAAACCAATACTTAAATACTCAGTTTCTATTTAAATTATAAGTTTTTCAGTGAGCCATTTATATTACTGTCGAGTAGGCAAACACTACTAAACAAATTTATGCCTTATTATTACTTACGATTGCTTATCGTTGACGCCATTTAATTGGCTCTTTACAGTAACCAATTGAATTTTTTAACGTAATAGACAAGATAAGAATACCTTTGTCATGTATAAGTTTTGTTAGAAAATGATTTTAAAGATAAATGCATAAAAAGTGTGCTCATTCTTAATTTGTTTAAAAATGTTATGGTCATAGTTTGTTTTTCTCATTCCATGAATTCACAAAAAATTAAACCTATTGATTGTATTAAATAATGGGACTTTTCAGGAATGTTTTCAGTGGATTACTTGAATATGAAACACAAAAAGTGGTTCAGATTCACTCCACAAAAATTGGACTCACATTTCGCCTGATACAATTGGGAATCATTCTTTATGTTATACTATGGGTTATGATTTACGAGAAAGGTTATCAATCATTTGATCAAGCAGTGAGTGGAGTAACTGCAAAGTTAAAAGGGATAGCATTTGCCAATGTGACAGATAACCCAAAACTTGGTGCAACTGTTTGGGATGCAGCTGATTATGTAATACCACCACAACAAAATTCAGCATTTTTTGTAATGACTAATCTAGTTTATACACCGGGACAAACGTTGGGACGTTGTGAAGAAGCCCATGATGTATTCGGAAACAGTTGTAAAAATGATTCACAATGTCATGCTGGACAATTAGTTTTACGTGGTAGTGGAATACAAACTGGTCGGTGTATAAATTCTACACGACAAGCCAATTTGAGTGTGTGTGAAATATATGGGTGGTGCCCTACAGAGCATGATATCATTCCTAGACCACATTTACTAGCATCAGCTGAGAACTTCACTGTCATATTGAAGAATAGCATTGAGTTCCCAAAGTATCGAGTGAAGCGTAGAAATATCTTAAGTTGGATGAGTCGTTTATTCCTGAAAACTTGTCTCTATAATCCAAATGATGAGAAACTTAAATATTGTCCTATATTTCGACTTGGTGATATATTAAAGTATTCTGGTTCAACTGACAAGGATATCTGGGAGACTGGTGGAATGGTATCTATTCATATTGAATGGAATTGTAATTTAGACTTCGATGAAGAAAAGTGTTTGCCAAAGTATGTGTTTCGTCGTCTTGATGACTTTCGGAGTCATTTAGCAAAGGGATGGAATTTTCGTTTCAGTCATCATTATATTGAAAATGGAGTACGTAAGCGTAATCTAATCAAAGCGTATGGAATTCAGTTTTTTATTACAGTCTATGGAACTGGCGGAAAATTTAATGTGCTTACTTTCTCAATGAATTTAGGTTCTGGTTTAGCTTTACTCGGTATAGCTACAGTATTGTGTGATATGATTATATTGAATACAACACGAAAGCGTAGTGTATATCGTAGGGCTAAAGTTGATCTAGTTGCTGCTAAACGCCGTAAAGAACAAGAAAGTATGAAAGAAAATGAGAATAAAATTGCTGGTGGTCATTTTGGGAAAAATAAAAATAAAAAAAGCAAGTTAAAGTTTGTATCTACAAGTGTTCATGCTGATGAGGACAGTGTTGAGAAAGATTTCACTGATACAAATAATCTTATGACACCTGCATATGTTTCACATCAAATGTGGTCAGATAGACGGTGTAAGAGAAAACCTTTGATGAATAACAGATCAATAAAAGATTCACATTCCGGTCAGTTATGTTTAAGTCAACCAAGTTTTCTTGGCTTTCATGTTAGTCCATTATCTACTATATCACATTCTCCAGCTGATCATAGTGAAATGAAGGACGAAAATGAATCAGAGACTATTTTGGATGCTATCACAATTAAACCGCCTTGTGTTACAGATCCAATTGCAAGTGTGTCATCATTTGTTGAACCAGTAAAATCATCTGAAATGACAACTGTACCAGTTAGCGCTAATCCCGGTCCTATGAAGTCAATTGCAAAAAATGAGGTAAAATTTACTAACCCTGAATCACTATCAACAACAACAGCAACAGCAACCACAACTCTAAAGCCAAAAATGAATAAGAATGATTCAATGCCGCTTAAAACTGCTGTTTCTATATTACCACAATGTTGTGATAACTTAACAAATCCAAATGATAATTCACAAGAGGCAAAAAGTTCTGTATCTATTCTGGAAAAAAATAAATCACCAAAACCTATTAATTTGTTTGGTCCTCCAAAACTCAGAAAGCACTATTTACATTCACATTAGCAGTGATTTCACTTATATCTGGAATTACTTATTCCCACGTTTGTCTTATTTTTTAATGTGCTCTCAAGATTCTGATTTTGTTATGTCAACTGACTAAGTATTTCAATAGTCACATTGTCAATTCAAAATTGTGATCCCTTTTACTCAAAATAAATCCTGTGTGGGGACTGTTGTCTGTAAACCACTGTCTTTATGCATATAATTTCCTCTTTGTCGTTGTTGACGTTGAATTTATCTATCAAGGGAGAAGAGATACGATCAGAAGTTCCACAGTGTCGGATAATGTGAATACATCTATGAAAGAAGTGAGATGAGAATTTGTCGTGTCTTTTATTTTTGCTGTTATGTTTTTTGTTATATTTAAAACCAGTAATTTTCATTACATATATGCACACAAACACACTTGATATACATGCAAGAGGGTTATGCAGCATTCCATAACATCGATTTATTGTAAAAAAATTCCTACAAAAGAAAACCTCTCTGAATTCAATTTTTATTGTATATTTCCTTCTGGTATCGCCTGATATAATAACTAGCATATATATATATATATATATATATGGCTTAAAAGAAGTCTTTTGGACCCCAGGAAAAGGGTTTTTTTCGTCAAGGGGCCCCTTGTCGCGAAAACTTGCTTTCCAAGAAGAGTGCGAAGGGAAAAAGTGTCACCCCTGGGGGAAAAAGGAAAAAATGAAACATGTCGAGTCGGGGCGGGAAAACTCGAAATGGAAATGCCCTTAAATTTTTTTTCTTCCTCCTTTTATTATGCTTTTCTTGTACTTTCTTCTCTTGCTTCGCGTGCTACACGGAATGTGGCGACTTGAACTTCCGCACATTTGTGCAAAGTTCTATGTCGAAAACAGACAGACAGACAGTGAAAATATTCATGTATAGTTCCAATGCAGACTAAGTCTTGTGTAAAAGAAAGCCTGATTCGAAATCCCCAGTCAGTTCACCAATGTGTTCTTTTTTCTTCTTTGAATGATTTTCATTTTATTTCTCTAAGCCTGTTCATTTTCATCGACTTTTGTCGACTTGATTTCCTCAGTGTTACCTCTCTTCTCAAAACAACAAACAAAGAGCAAAGTTGTCTAGTAAATTACAAAATGAAATATACGTAATGTTATCTGCTGTTATGTTATAATGATGAAAAGATGAAGACTTTTAAATATTGTCATCATTTTTCACCAAGTGGTGAATACTAGGTAGCTGTGTTGATCATTTAAGTTATCAGGGTGTGTGATAACTTTGAGGATAGAAACTGTTCCACGTACTCCAAGGTTTAACATATGATAGTGAATGTTTTATGCCCAGATTTCATTCATTATCCAAGTGACTGATGAAGTAGTCGTCAAAAATGGTGGCAGTTATTAATACTTCCTTCGGTTCCCAGGGGAATGTAGAACAATCGGCAACACATCTTCAATTCATTCTGTTCTCTCCTCCATCTCATCCTCAGAAAACCAAGTGTAGTGATGATTATATGGTTACAAATATCCTTTAACATTTTGCTAACAGTTTCTGCCACGCTTAGATTTCTCACTCTTAACAACACTTAATTTAAGATATGATATGAAAAGACTTAAGTGTGTTTTAAAATTTACTTCTGTAGATTATAATATACATAATCCTGCAGTCGATATCTCAAGATACCCGAAGCTTGCCAAGCTACCACACCTAAGCTGCACCAATACCTTAAACTTCTGACATTACTGGTATGAATTTTAAACCTTTTTCATCCAGGCGGAAAGTTGGCAAGATTAATAATATTCATTTGTAATTACTTATATATTTCAGCTGCAAATATTATGCATAGTCTGTGGTAGCATATCTAACTGGTCTAATATTGTGGGTAAAGAAAAGATAAGCAGTTAACACACATCTTAATAATGCTATTTAAATGAGTTATATGTTTCAAAGTAATGCACGTCGCCAGTGGTGTTTCACGGTTTTCTATGCCACTATTTACGTATTCTATGATTTCATTTGATGCACCTCAAAATGTCTGAGGTGCAAATTTCCATTTTTATGTAAGCTCTTAAATAGTTACATTCGTATAAATGTAAACTAAATTTCTTATTTTATATATCATTGTTTCCTTGTGTTCTGACTGGATTATAGGGCTTTAGTGGCACAGCTTTATTGAACCCTGTTCTCTGCTACCACTTGCGACCGGCTCCAAAACTACCCGTAAGCTTTTATTTTGTATTCATCTAATCCTCTCTATGTCAACCACCGACTCCCATTCGGGTTGCCTTCACGACCTGGTGCATAGAATCACTTGAAGATCTCCTCAGTGCATGTCCGATCCGACTTAAAATTGGTATTGAAAATCCTAATTCTGTTCCTTACGTTGAGTGTAGAAGACTTCCAAACTGGTTTCATGTTGATGAAGGCGTATCTTGCCTTTCCGATTGTGGCCTACTTTGACATTTTTATCCATTCCGACTGCCTGTAGCTGGAACGATACTGCCTGCCTGGATAAGTGAAGGGGGTAACCTATGTTAAAGCTTTCCTGTTGATGGTGATTGGTGCTGGTTGTTGTTGTTGTTGTTGCTGCTGTTGGTTAGTTATCCTCATCACCTCCGTCTACTCTATGTTCAGTTGAGGTCCTCTCTTCACTGCTTGATTCCTCTGCCATTTCGTTGCTTTTCGCCTGTATGTCTTCAATTTTGTATGACATTAGGCAGAAATCATCTACGAAGTTCAAATCTTCCAGTCTTATTATCGAATCAACGTATTCCTGTCTTCTCACTCCCACGCACAATATGATACATAATCCGGTTCACCGCAATGAGCAATATCACCGATGACAATAGGCAGCAGCCTTGTCTTACTCCTGCATGCACTCCAAAGCCTCTGCTGAGTTTTCCATCGTGGATCACTTGACACAGCATACGTTACAGAAGGCTATAAATAGAACGCAAACAGGAGTTGTACGAAAGTGGATTAAGGTTAATTTAGTCTTTTTCTAAATCTCAGTATTATTCAGGTGAACAGAACACTATAAATTACACAGCTATCCTTCAATCAGCCATGTATAGAAGTGTTCATAAGAAACCCTACCTGGAACGAAATAGTTCTCGTTCTTGTTTCCAAAATCCTCCACTCCTCTTCAGAAAACGTAGAAACCCACAGTAATTTAACTTTAGAAAACGACTCCTACGCTTTAATGGTATCTGGTTTTTTCATTATACCACGGAGAAACCCGTTGAAATCTTTATTGTTGCGTACTGAAATTTCGGGATTGATTGACAAATGTTTATCGGCCTTGAGTTTCTTTTTAAAACTACTTTAAAGGAACATATTTTGACAGATGTTCCTGACTTTATTGCTCAATATGATAGGTCTAAAAATCGTACTATATATAGATAAAACTATCTTATGATGAAATCCTGCAACCAATCAATCAAGGCCCTACAAAACAACGCTTGAAAATCAATGAGATGCTCCCTAGCGACTTGCCCTATTCACGTAGGTAGTTACCTGGGGTTCTAGTGAGAAGTCGTGACCAGTAGGATACAACAGGTCGGGTATGAGGACAAATACTCGCCGAAGACATTGGCTGGGGTCGCGCTATGTCGTGAATTCGCAGAAGTTAGTATTCATGGGCCATCGGATCAGGTGTCCCAGTGGTCTAATGGTCCACGGGCTCGCCCTGTAAGCAGAAGGTCCTGGGTTCGAACCGTGGCGGTGGGTGCTTACTACTGAAGAGTCCTGAACTAGGACAAAACAGCTATCCAATACTCCAAGGTTTTCGAATTGCTCTGTATATGATATCAGCTTACGACGAGATCACGTCACCAATCAATCAAATCCCTACAAAGCAATACTTAAAAACTATCTTAGTCTAAATTTAGCACTATATGTTAACTGATTTTATGCATCTTATACGATCACCAGATGTGTGGTGTGGTGACAAGTCCATATAGGATACCTTCTCCGTGTCAAAAAGCTCAATCTCCAGTCCGTTATGTAATTTTAAAAGCTAAGCCTCCTTATCATTTATGCGACTACAGAAACCTATATTTTACGCTTAAACTTATCTTAAATAAGAGGGATTAGTACAAATCTAATTGTGCTTTAGAGTTTAGACTAAGAGAGTTTTTGTCTGATTATAAATGATCACTATGACTGCATACTTCTTGAAAAATGTCACTGGACTTCGCCTAATGATCATACTACACAGAGAGAGAGGAAATTCACATGAAAGAAAAAAGAAGGCGAGTTCTGACGTGATCAAAAATGAAAAATGCCAAAAATACGGAATTTAATGCTTCTCTCTCTATAGATATATAATTTGATACTTCGTCCTGTACACGTCATATGCCTTCTACATTCACATCATATGATTACTGCCTGTACACCATTATGGTTTCTTTTTTCCCTGTGAAACCTAATGACATTTTTCAATAAGTATAGGACTTCTGAAGTATACAGGATTTAGTAAATTATCAAAAAAAGAATCCTGGACTAATTGAAAGAAGGTGCGTAACCTTTAATTTTAGATACTATGAAGATAGTAGGCATTACAGAAAGGGAGACAGATGTAAAAGACAGTCTCTCTTTTTCCCCTTTAATAGGCATAAAAGCAGAAAAAAATAGACATCAGTCATTAAATTAGTACAGATTTACTTCCAAGGTATCTGGATGAATTTTTGTGTTGTTTAAATTAACAAACTTATTCTGAACACTGAGATTTAGTTGAAAAATCATTATGCCAACTGCCTCAGCTTGCTTCACAACTGAAGACGTATTAACCTAGAGAGTTGAGGCAGCACACTGTATGGAATTGTGAAAGCTGAATTTTTGTCAATCTTGTTCTCTATATCCATCCGATGTGGCGCTATGGCACTTCTGATTGACTTTACGACTACTTTACCTAACGACGTTAGACCCTGATCCAGAAGGTGATGGCTTAGCTTGGACTTTTATGTTGATTGGTTGGACCGTAGTGGTCGGCCTCAGGATGACATGTTAGCTGCTTGTGAGGATGCTTCTACGACGTCTGTGGATTTAACCTCAAGTAATTTAGTGGATAGTGACTGGAAGTGGAATTCAGGATAAGCATTTCGTCCTATCTGGATAAAATTTCGCCATTTGAAACTATAGGTACTGGGTTCAAGCCTCAGTAAGAAAACTGTCACTCCCTGGGGAATGCAGGTATATCCAGATGACGAGTCTAAAATAAGACGAAATGCGCGTTATCGCGGATTCCACTGCTAGTCACAATACGCCAAAGTTTTCTGTTACTTGGATGTGTCTTCTACAATAAAGGCATAATGGAAAAAGTAAGGTGGAAAATTTGTCTACACTGAAAATGACAACTTACAATATACTTTGCTTGAAAAGTGTGAAAAAATTTCATAGCTTAATAGGTGAAGTTCCACCATGGAATGGAATTTTATTTGACAGAAAGCACAGTGTTACAGTTTTTTGTGATTGATGACGTTGCGGGCACAATTTCTTTTTCATAATTATATCAAGGCATTCATGTAACTTTCAAACCATTAGTACTATACTATAGATTCATTATTTCTAACCCTTTGATTTTGTTGA